TCCCCTTAATTGGAAAATCCTACATTCTATATGCTTTCTTTTAACCTAGTCAAACAGTTTCTTTGTTTTATAATTATTATATACAGCCTTTAATATGACAGAGCTCATGATAATTATATAATATTCTTCTCAAGATTCCATCTGAATGTAAAATGCTTTAGACAGCAATAATATCCCAAGAAAATATTAGTAAACTAATTTTATAAATGTTTCACATAGCGCTAATAAAACAATTTTATAGATGTACGTCAACTAATGAACTAGTATCAGATAACATCAATATAAATCTAATATAAAACAGATTTGTTCGGTGAGCTAAAATGTCATATAAAATCATTGTGCAAACGTTCATAAAACAATATTAAAACTTGTTACCGAACTGTTTTGTATTTTTGCTCCAAGAACGTTCTTACGACTACCTTATAGAGTAGAATACTTTCTTGGAAGCTTAATTATCTCGCTTGCAATTTTAATAAAACAAATGGCATTCGACGAGCAGTAATAAACTAATTATAGAATAAAATAGCAGCGGAGAGTTAAAAATTATAAAATATAATTGCTAGTTGAGGTGTTAAATGAATTAAATTATTCTATACTTAAATACTAATTTATGCCTAAAATAATTGGATAGTTAACTATCTCCTTTGATTTTCCTATTCTATACAATTTCGTGTTATTATATCTTGGAAAATCGGGTCTCCGTGATCATTGTTTTAGCCCAAACACATACATGCTTCGAATATAAGTTATCTGACCATAAAACGGGAATTATATCGTTCTTGGGTACTTTATTACAACCATATGTCGTAATCTAGTGCAGCTGCAGATTAGAATCACATTTGGCGTTAATCTAGGAGAGCACATAATTTTGCCTAATAAATTTGTCAATTTGGCTTATTTTCGACTTGAAAACTAATAAAACTTGATACATTTGGCTTTAAGTGTTTTTCCTCAATTCTCGACCAGATTAGTTATATCGTTCCCAGAATCGCCATATGTTTGTAAAACCCATTAAGATAAATTTTTATCTATTTCTTAAAACTTGAACCGAGATTTGAAAATTAACATTAATTCTGTTACAGTCCCTAATGACCCAGCGAAAAAACCGAAACCAGTATTACCACAAAAAAGTCGTCTGGGACTTCTGAGGATCTTCCACGATGAACAGTGTCACATTGGAATGGAAAAAACAATTGAGTCAATACAAAAACATTTCTGGTTCCCTAGGATAAGACATTTTATTCAAAAATACATTAAACATTGTTTAATTTGTGCTGTTAAGAAAACCCGAGCAGGTCCTCTTCAAGGATTTATCAAAAATGTCGACAAACCATCAGTGCCCATGGAAATACTACACGCAGACTGTTTGGGACCATTGCCTGGTTTTAAACATATTTTGGTAGTTGTGGACACGTTTTAACCATGGATGCAGGTTCGAATTTTAAAAATTTAAGCTTGCCTGAATATTTGGATGTCTTGAAAATTGAATATCATTATACAACACCTGACATACATCGTTCAAATGGGCAAGTTGAACGATATATGCGTACTATCATGAACTTGTTGCGGGTAGAAACCCGTATTAAATCAGAATGGTCGAGCAAAATATGGAAGATACAATTAGTACTTAACACCACCGTCCAAAAGTCAACCAATACTGCGCCACTAAGAGCATTGATTGGAGTCGATGGTGCAACGCCTCTTATTCAGAATTTGTTGAAGAACCTCACGGATGATTCTGTGCCAATAAGGAACTTAAATTTGGATCGAGAAAGAGTCAAAAGTGCCCTTGATAGCAATACCAAAAGGGACCTGAGATCAAATACAAAACGTCGTGATACGAAAGTTTTTCAAGTTGGTGATTTTGTTTTAATGCACCGAGACGAAAAGATGCATCAGGGAAAGCTATCTTATGAATTTGATGGTCCTTTCGAGGTTGTTGGCATCACCCCGCAACAACGTTACGAGCTACGAAGAGTTGGAAAATCAACCATTACCAAGGCAGTTGAAGAGCAGCTACGAATTTGGCCTACAGACTGGTCTCTCACACTAGACATGCCAGACTTATTGGAACTTTTAGAACAAGAATTCAGGCGAGTGACTTTTCATTTATTTGTTGGTTATTGATATCTGGCCATGTTAGAATAACTAGAAGCCAGTATTTTAAAAATATATCAGGGAATTTTCACACTTGTAAATTTATGTGTTATACCTTTTATTAGTTGGCTACATTTTGTATGTACTTTGACCAAGGTTTTGACTTTATGATTGTAACTAAAACTGAACGTATTTTCTATTTTGCCGAAATACTGAAAGTATTTCCTGTTTTGATGAACCTAATACTAAAAGTATTTTCAATTCCGCCGAAATACTAAAAGTATTTCCTGTTTTTAGAACCAATACTAAAAGTATTTCCTATTTTGCCGAAATACTAAAAGTATTTCCTGTTTTGATGATGCCGAAATACTAAAAGTATTTCCTGTTTTGATGAAACTAATACTAAAAGTATTTTGAATTCTGCCGAAATACTAAAAGTATTTGCTGATATTTTGGACTAATTCTAAAAGTATTTTCTATTTTGCCGAAATACCAGAAGTATTTCCTGTTTTGATGCAGCTAATACTAAAAGTATTTCCAAATTTGCCGAAATACTAAAAGTATTTCCTGTTTTGATGCAAATAATGCTAAAAGTTATTTATCTTTTGCCGAAATACTAGAAGTATTTCCTGTTTTGTGAAAATACAAATTTATGTTTCTTTTCCCTCGTTTTCCTGTTAGTTACTTATTGGGAATTATTTGTAATTTCAGTGAGGACTGTGAGGATGAGGTTGTCTTTACTATTGGTGAGAATTAAAATAATTATTGGATGTTGCAGTTCCGAGAACGAAACTACTATCAGGGTTGGCCGTGTTAGAATCAAAATTATATTTGAATTTAAAATAATAATTATTATAAAATATTTTTCGAAGGAATTAAATTATTGTGATGATAATTCAACCGGACTATTATTTATCTTGGTGAAACATGAAATGATGCAGGTAAATAAAGTAAAGGGTCGAATATACTTCGTCAACCGCTGGCAATCGTGCGAGAAAAGGGACAGGCAGGTACTGGAAAAACGGAGCCAGTCTTCCCGTGAGTGCTAGCACGCTTGCTATAATTGCCGTTGGCTATTTTGTTTACAGTTTACAATAAATAATATAACAATAGTGTATTTTACAAAAGCGTCTTGGTGTCAATGTTTTTCAAAACCCGCTCACCCCTATAACTTTTTTATTTTTTCAAATAAACAAATGAAATTTGGTGTGTATATACATATATGCATTATTTGACGTATTCAATTTTTTACTATCACTTCCGGTTTGACCGGAAGTGACCCTAATTTTCTTATTTTAAATGAGACGCTAGGTATATTTTTCCTCATTTTAATAGGAAACTACATTACGAGTACAATGACACCTCATTTGTCACTTTTTGACATTTCATCACCAAATTATTTAAATTTTTACTTTTAAAGCACCATGAATAAGTCAAAATGCTTAATTTTGATCCTAGGAACATGTGAAAATTTGTTTTGATCTTATTTTGTATTTTATATCCTCTACAGACTCATTTGAAGATATTAGAAGCGCATTTTTAGAATTATATCAGTTTTTTCAAATGGAAAGGGTATGGCTCATGAGCATGTTCCAAAAGAGCGTTTTCTAACGAGCAATTCAGTACCACACAATCGCTAGTTCATCACTCAAATTAAGAATTTTTCTTGCATCCTAAATATTTTTGGAAAATTTTAGTTCAATATTTAAATAAACTAGCGATTGTGTGGTACTGAATTGTTTGTTAGAAAATGCTCTCTCGAAATATGCTAATGAGCCATAACCTTTCCATTTGAAAAAATTGATATAATTCCAAAAATGCGCTGCTACTAACTTTAAATGAGCCTTTAGAAGATATAAAATTCAAAATAAGCTCAAAAAATTTTCCCATGTTTCTAGGAGCAAAATTAAGCATTTTAACTTATTCATGGCGCCCTAGATTGAAAAGTAAAAATTTAAATAATTTGGAGGTGAAATGTCAAAAAGTGACAAATGAGGTGTCATTGTACTCGTAATGTATTTTTCTATTGAAATGAGGAAAAAGGACCCCGCACACCTCTTATGGGTTTTTGGTTTTCTGTCCAACTCAATGAAATTTTGATATGTGTTAGACCTTGACTTCCTGATAAAAAAATTCTCATGGGCCCGAACCAATCCTATGATTAGTTTTTGAGTTACAGGTACTTTTATGTCCAAGAAATGTATACATTTTATATGTATTCACATCTACCTGTCACCTAATAATAGGTCTGTTTCTGCAAAAATCACAAACTTGTCAGAGCGAATTTGATTGGTCGAAAACAGTCAGAAACAGTCACAAAACTAGTTACAACCAATGAAATTAACTCTGACAGACCTAATAATAGGTGACAGGTAGATGTGAATGCATATAAAATATGTACATTTCTTGAACATTAAACCACCTGTATTTCGAAAACTAATCATAATATCGGGTTGGGCCCATGAGAACTTTTTATCAGTAAGTCAAGATATACTACATATCAAAATTTCATTGAGTTTGACAGAAAACCAAAAACCCATAAGATGTGTGCGGGGTCCTTTACCTGGCGTCTGATTTAAAATAATGAAATTACGGTCACTTCCGGTCAAACCGGAAGTGATAGTAAAAAATTGAATACGTCAAATAATGCATATATGTATATACACACCAAATTTCATTTGTTTATTTGAAAAAATAAAAAAGTTATAGGGGTGAGCGGGTTTTGAAAAACATTGACACCAAGACGCTTTTGTAAAATACACTATAAAATACAATACATTTTTTATTAATACAAAACAAACAAATTAAAAGATCTAAATAGGTGAAAACTCCAATTATTTTATTTATCCACCCTTCCCAGACTTTTTCTGATGCAGAAGCGGAGTTACTGGATCAGTCACTTTCTAACTCAACGCCAGTTTTCTGCATTTCGCCCTTTCTTTTTGCTCTTTCTCAGCTTGCATCTCCTTGATGTGTTGCCTTTGCTGTTCCAGTTCTGCTTCACGCAACTTCATTTTTCTGTTAAACTCTTCTCGTTCCACACGTTTATTGGGTAGGCTTGGAATAAATGGCTTTTTCTTGAGAACAGTTGCTTCACGAGCTTTAAATTGAGGGTAAGTGTTGTTGTCAGTGCTTGGCTGAAAAAGACAAGGATAAACAAATTAACTTTATTTATTTTTGACCAAAAAAGATTACAATAATTCAAAACGAAATACAAAGACTGTACCTTCACTTCTGTAAGTGATCTAAACTACCCTATTTGCGGTGCACTACGCGTGTTGACTTTTGAAATTTAATTGATATGTATTCAAAATTAAATTAATTACTTTGCCACACTCGAAATGCACAGCAACAAAAAGACTGTAGCCGCAAAGCTTCCAACACAACTCTTGACCTCAATCTAGCAATATTTATACTTTAAAATTGTAGTGGCTGTGACTGCGTGACATGCGTATTTCTTCCCTGACGTTTGTCGAACTTGCCGAGGAAGGGCGTCTCGGACTGGCCTTCGTTTCTTGGCGGGAATCTTGAATTGTAACCTCTTCTGCTGGCTACAAAATGGACTTCGGAGATTGCATTTTCCGCTTTAAGGGCCAAGGAGTACAAGTCCTTGAATCCTTTCGTGATATCTTCTTCACATAGACGGTCCAGGATCTTTCCAGGAGACAATCCCGTTATGAATTTGTCCTTGACAATGTCTGAAAGTTGATTTCCGAAATCACATGTAGTGGCAGCGGCTCTAATGTCGGCGTGCCAGTCGGCAATGCTTGAATTTCCTTGGGTCATCTGGTAAAATCTAATGCGTTCTCGCCAGGTACTTTTTTGCACTGAGTACTGGGTTTTGAGCAATCTGCATAATTCCTCAAAATTTTTTGCATCCGGAGCGTTGGGGTATGTTAAGTTTTTTAGTAATTTGTAAGTGGCTTGGCTGATGGAACTTAGCAAAACGGCAACTTTGATTTTTTCATTAGTTACCTGGTTGACAATAAAATGTTGCTGAAGCCTCTCGATGTAAATTTCCCATTCGTCCACGTTTGAATTGAATTCGTAGAACTTTGGAATGGTGCCCGTCGCCATCTTCGTTTAACCGTGCCGTACCCGAAATAGAATTTTAATTTTTTTTTTTTTTTTTTTTTAAAGCCAAAATCACTCGCGTTTTTCCAACTTTTCCTCGTCGCCAAATGTAATGACTTAACTTTTGAATAAAAGATTACCGAACGTGTTCAAAGGCTTTATTTAATTTCCGGATTTAAGTACAAGAGTTCCGTTCCATGATAGGTCTTTTCCCTAGCGTGGCCGTAGCAGAAGAGAGGGCTTTTGTTGCCTTTTCTGCCGTAGTCTACAATCTTTCAAATCTGCGCATGTGCGCTAACAAACCTAATTATGACCTTTATATTACGTGTGAATAGAGACTTTACACATATGCAACATTCGACCCTTTACTTTATTTACCTGCATCATTTCATGTTTCACCAAGATAAATAATAGTCCGGTTGAATTATCATTACAATAATTTAATTCCTTCGAAAAATATTTTATAATAATTATTATTTTAAATTCAAATATATTTTTGATTCTAACACTATAAAATACAATACATTTTTTATTAATACAAAACAAACAAATTAAAAGATCTAAATAGGTGAAAACTCCAATTATTTTATTTATCCACCCTTCCCAGACTTTTTCTGATGCAGAAGCGGAGTTACTGGATCAGTCACTTTCTTACTCAACGCCAGTTTTCTGCATTTCGCCCTTTCTTTTTGCTCTTTCTCAGCTTGCATCTCCTTGATGTGTTGCCTTTGCTGTTCCAGTTCTGCTTCACGCAACTTCATTTTTCTGTTAAACTCTTCTCGTTCCACACGTTTATTGGGTAGGCTTGGAATAAATGGCTTTTTCTTGAGAACAGTTGCTTCACGAGCTTTAAATTGAGGGTAAGTGTTGTTGTCAGTGCTTGGCTGAAAAAGACAAGGATAAACAAATTAACTTTATTTATTTTTGACCAAAAAAGTGCGGGGATGAAGGACTGTTTTTGAGAAATATCTGCTAATTCAAAGCAAACTTCAAAAATGTTAATAATTGTATTCCTTTTAAGAGTTTAAAGCACTAGAGCTACTCACTCCGGTGTTAGTCGACCTCGATTTGGAAGGAAAAAATGCGCTGGCTTTCGTGCAATTGAATGGTTTGAATCGGGTTTGAGCACTCAGGTGCAATGAACACTTTTCGAGAGGAATAAGCGCGTAACGCCCCCGTAAAAGGAATACAACTATTATGTTGAAGTTAAAAACAGTTGAAGGTAAAGGTTTAGGAAATTATTGGGGAAATGTGTCTAGAATTTGGCGTAGAATCTGAAAATGTAATAATATATTGGGTGTATTCTAGTATTCTAGAACACCCTTTTCAGTCCCTTTTAAAATATGGTAGTGGTACCGCATCAAAATCTGAAGCAAACGGATAAACACCTTATTTTTATTACGTTTTTGATATTTCAGCTCTGCATCACCTACCGATTTCTAAACCAACTTCAGGGATTGTTCTATATATCCCTCGATATATCTATTACATGGAACACTTTCCTAAAGCCCTGATTGTAGTATTTCACCTAAAATCTGGAAGAAAAAACCACGAAAAGCTCATTTTTTATTGACTTTGTTGAAATGTTCAACCCTACATCCCCTATCGATTTCAAAACAAATTTGAGGCAGTATTCTAGAATGAGTCCCTGCTAAGAAACAGTAGTTGTAGCCTTCACAAAATCTCGAGAGAAAGTATAAAAACCTTGTTCTTATTGAGTCTTTTGATATTTGCTTACATCCATCCCCTACTGAATCTCAAACCAATTTGAGGTAGTATTCTAGGACACCCTATTAAAATATGGTATTTTAGTGAATGTGTGAAGGTGCGCAATTGTGAATGCACCCTCTTATGATACACGTCATTATGACGCATAGTTCTACGTCCTGAATAGGTAAACGACATCTCTGGTAAACGACAGTCTTCTCACAGCTATTACTTGAAGACCATCCTTTCTCCTCCTCTCTCTCCTCACCACCTGAACACCCCAACATGGTGCGGTCAGTATAAAGGTTTTAAAATCCCAAGTATCCAAAATCAACTTCCTCATCGTTTTACTTTCGAGGCGTACCCCCGTCCGAAACTGTCTCCGAAAACTGGATGTTCTGGAAGCAGGCCACCGAGATCATCAAAAAAGAGCAGGTGGCACAATGTGCTCAATTATTAACCTTGATTGGCGAGGAAGGCATTAGAATTTTCAACACCTTCACGTTTAAGCCTGATGAAAAAGACAAATTAGACATACTCATCAAAAAGTTTGATTACCATTTTCTACAAAAAAAAAAAATAATTTAACGTATATACTCGAAAGTCTGGTCTATAGGAAATACTATGCTCAACTTTCTTCAGTGAGGCACTATTCCACTAGGCAAGCTTATAATATTCCACTGCCAATTCCGAGAAGCACCTTGGTGAAGAAGTCTTTTGTTTATTTTGCTAAGAAAGCCTTCAATTTTCTACCATTGAGCGTTAGGTCTTTACGTTCGTACAGAAGGTTTAGAAAGGAGGTAAGGGAGTTGCTCTTGACTAGGGCATACTACAAAGTTGAAGAATTCTTTGAGGACACCTTGTGAGCATATTTTTATCGCAGCAAAAATTTTAAATTGTATTTTCATAGATATTTTTAATTATGAATATTTAGGTTATATGCTTTGTGAATAAAAAGTTTTTTTTCTAGTCAATTTCTTGATTTTATTGATTTTTATATCGTTTTGATGCAGTGGTATACTTTCCTAATTCGTAGCTAGAATTCGAGGCTTACTTTACGTCTCTGTATATTTTAAACTGTTTGTTTTTCGAGTGTGCGCATTGTATTTTTATTTTATTTTTTATTGACCTTTCATGTAACTAGTTCTAAGGTTTTTCGTTGATAATAGGTTTAAGTTTAGCTTTGTCATTAAGATTGTATCTTTGATAATACAATTTGTGATTGATTGATTGATATCTAACACACAAATTTTTGAGCCACAGACAAAAAACCGGTCAAAGTATAGATAGCTATGTGACTGACCTGAAAAAATTAGCCTTGCAGTATGAATTGCATACCTTGAAAGACAGATTAATAAAGAATGTCTTCATATGTGGTGTAAGGTCGGCAGAGGCTCGGAAGAGGCTATTGGAAGTCGCAGATGAGAAAACACTAGAACAAGTTGTCCAGTCCACTTTGAATGCTAAAAAATGCAGGAAGCACGCCAAGGAAATCGCCAATGGAAATGGACACGTCACAGTAGATGCTATTCGTCCAAACAACAGGACAACCCAACCTCAGAATAGCAGAAAGTGTGGGTCAAGGCATGGTTATGGTCAGTGTCGAGCCTATGGGAAGCAGTGTAGTGCTGGTGGTGGTCCCAACCATTCTGCATTTCTTTGTTCGGCGGTTTTGATAATCAAGTAGGTTTTGAGACTGATTTTTATCATAAAAACTCAAATTTTGAAGATTATAACTATTATAAGAATCAAAGGTCAGATAATTTTAGAAAATATAATGATTATAAAAATAAAATTTGTCCACAGCAAAATAAATTTGCCTTTAAAAACATAAATATTGTGAAAAAATGAAAATGTCAATGTGAGGCTATGTCAGGCTACAAATCAGAGAGTGATGAAAATATCAAGGTTGGAGAAAATAGTTTGTCACAAATTCATTCAAATAATTTTCAAAAGGATAGCAACGCTGAAGATTTTTTGTTTATAGGTAGCATCAACAGCCAGGTCAGCGAGATACATGGGGGCTCATGGACAACATCAGGAAATATCAATGGACAGAGCTCGTTGAATTCACACTTGACAATGGAGCAATGGCCAACATCTTGTCTGTGAGTCTGTGGAAACTTTAAATAAAATAGGGTATGATATGCAGAGTTTAGAAAAAACAATTAATATTTCAATCTCCTATACTGATAACACTTTGCCAATAATTGGAAGATGTGTCCTAGAATGTCTTGTAAATAATATAAAATCGAATGTTTCTTTTTTTATGTCGGGTCGGGGAGTAAAAGGAATTTTAGTTTTGAAAACTTGTATAGATTTAGATTTGATAGGGAGAGTCGACTCAGTTGAAAGTCATGGTCATCTGACCTCATTAGTGAATAAATATGGGGTGAAGGTTGCTTTGATAAAACATATTGTTACGATATCGTTAACGCCAGGCCAGAAAAACGGCCTCCGCCAGGCTGTCAAGAATCTAGCGAATTATTCTACTATAATCGAGAAAATAAGATTATCTTGTGTGTTCTAGATTTTACAGGAATAGATTTAGGGATATATAAAAGGCCGCTATTGCTTTGTAGTTTTAAGTTTCAGTTCGACTGTGATACGATTTAAATAGTGATTGTAAAGAGTTTAATTGTTGAGTTTTTTAATAAAATAATTAGTGTCAGAGTGTATTGTTAAGTGGAATAAATTATTGCTGTGTTAATTGGACTTTGATTTTTGAAATAAACGAAACGAACAACGAACCCAAGATTTCTGTCAGGCAATCCAAAGCCGTGACAATATCATATAGATTCGTATGTTTTGTGTCGAGTTTTGTCTGTCAAATGTTTTATGTGTTAGGAGATTTTTCTCTAAAAAATTCCTTGAAAAAATCAAGCTGCGGTTAGTCTCGACTTCGTGTCTTATTTGAAAACTCTGTCTCAACTTGGCAAGCTCTCAAGCTTCCGTGTGTTTTATTTGAAATTGGGTTTTTTCCTTTAAAAAATTCCAAGTAAAAAATCAAGCTAGAGTTAGTTTCGGCTTCTTGTCTTTTTCAAAAACTCGGTTCTAACTTGGCTAGCCATTTGTGTGTCAAAGAGAATGTTTGCTTTCATAGCTTTAATTCGGAGTGTAGCTTCCAAAGAGAAATCGTCGAGGACGGACACGGGGGGATGGAGGCCTTTGAAAAAGGTGTCCATAAAACAGTGGTGACAATTACGCGGAGGAGGAATCTAGGATTTCCTAGACGGATTGCTGCACGATTGTGCCGAATTAGAAGCGCGGGCTCGGTTACGAACCATCAGAATTTCAAACGAATTTTCTTTTACTTCCTGGCCCTTATCTTGAAAAAGACTTCGCCGGGTATTGTTGGCAATTTTAAGTGGAGGGAGAGGACATCAGCCTCCAGTGCGAGGTCCGATGCAGGTTTCCTGCCTGCGAACTGAGCTTCCGGAAGCTTTAAACACGCCCGAGGGGATTGTCGTTGGCTCTCTTCGTGCCCGTAGGCAGATCGCACCAATAACACAAAGGGGGGTTCGTCTTCCGGCCAAATAAATTGAACCCAAGGAAAGGGGACCCTCGCCGATGTGTTGCCAGCCTACTACGCGCTCCTAGACACCGGGTACATGTCACAGTGCCTTTGTCGAGAAAAAGATTGCGAGAGCTCTTCTTGTCTCCGGGGCGGAGAGCGGGGCAAGTAGGGGACTTGATGACTCGCTCACTACCTGAATAAGACTAAGACTGACTCAAACGTCGAAAACGGGCTTCCTTTATAGTTTTGGTCGATACCTTTCACAAGCTCCGCCCACCAAAAATCAGCCAATCAGCGTGCAACGCAACACTACCTTCCAAGAACTGGGTAAAAAAGTAGCACGGAATGTTTATTTTGCTCTTGTCGAGTCACATATTAGATATGCATTACCCTTTTGGGGAGCCTGTGCACAAAATCTTTTTCAGTCTGTCTTTATTCTCCGAAAGCGAGCAGTTCGGAATTTATGCAATGCCCATCCAAGAACACACTGTAGACATCTCTTCATCCAAAATGGCATTCTAACTCTACCCTCCCTTTTCATCCTGGAAACAGCATGCTTAGTTTATAAAAATAAGCAAAGCCTTCCAAGGCATCAGCAACTACATCAAACCCGTCAAAACAATAATATCCCTTTACCAATATTTCACTTGAACCTGGTTAAGAGATCTCTCATCTACAATGGCCTCAAAATATACAATAATGTTGGTTTGCGGATTAGGAATGCTTCAACACCAAAGGCTTTCCGGAACCTACTAAAGGCATACTTATTGAAAAAGGCATTTTATACCATTGACGAGTTCTTTGAGTAATCCTAATTTAGTGTGATATTTAATTTAATCTCAATAGTCAACTGCGGCTATATATTGTTGTTTTTATATTGTGTTGTATTTTCTACTGACCATTTTTTACATTGTTGATTATTATTATTTTTATTATTTTTCATTGTTCTTTTTATTGACTGTACTTGAAATGATTGTCTTATTGTCAGCACAGAACATAATATCATCACCTCTAGAAAAGTATCTGCAATGTTTTATACCGGTTATGAATTACAGCGCCATCGTTGAATGAAAACCCAACTAATCGAGCATTCTTGACAAAAAGGCGAATTGATTTTTTTCATATATTTTTATTATTTTAAAATAATTTTTAATGTTCAACTGCATTTGGTTTGCTGACTCCTTTAAGCTCTTTTCGCCTCATTTTTTTTTTAAACTATGACTGGCAGGAAGTTTCCGATGTTGAACATAGTGCAAAAAGAGTTATTAAGTTAGCAAGAGACACACAGCTATAGGTAGATCGCAAAGTAAATACGAATAATAAATACAAATAGGTACAAACGAAACGAAACAAACGAGTAAATACAAAAAAATACGAACAAAAATTAGGGTTTTTTTCAACCAAAACTTTTTGAATTTTCACTTTAACGCGCGTATGGGGACCATGGTTTACAACAACACAATTTCAAAACATAGAAAAGTGATTTATTTTCTTGATATAGAACGCGCACTTCTGTTGTAGTCGCCCAGTGACATTTCCGACGGTGTAGTCATTGAACTAATATTTAGCGGGCCGTTTGAATCTCGGTTTCAAATGACTCGTTTGACATTTCAATTATTTCAAAATAAACAGTGCTCCAAAACTTCATAAACTAAAATTTTATACATTTTATTTTCATATAACTGTTAATATTTATCCTAAATAATGTATGTCGTTGTGAAGAATTTGGAAATAAAATTTATTTGTTGTCAAGCTGTTGTCAAAGTGTCAAATTTTGATTTTTATTTCCGCGGCCGTCACCAAGGGCAACGGCCGCGAAATTGAACTTCGCGGACTGTGTGGCGTCCGCGAAAGCTCATCTCGCGGATGGTTGCACAAAAAAACATAAATCAAGCACTATCTGAAGAAATCAAAACACTTAAAGCAGAAAATATTGAGATGCAGAAGGAAATCAGAAGCATTAAAAACCAAAACATGATACGAGAACAGGAAGCCAAGACCAACAACGTCGTTCCTGTTGGTATGAAAAATACCATCGATGAGCAAAAAACATGCCTACCGGAGCTGAAAAATAAGACAGATAAAGTGTTAAACTACATCGACTTTAGCATTCGGCCTTCCGACTACAAGGTGAGGATTATAAATATGAATAAAGAAAACTCACCCATTCTGGTAACATTCCAAACACAGCAACAAAAGTTATCTGTATTATCCAAAAGAAGAGAAAAAGGAAAAATAATCAGCAACGATTGTGGCTTAGAAGGCCCGAGCCCAATATTTGTTAATGAAGATCTAACTAGTGAACAACGCAGATTATTCCGAAGTGCCCGGACCCTACGCGAAAAAGATTACCAGTATGTTTGGGTGAAAGGTGGAAGGGTGTTTGTGAGAAGAAGTGGATCAGAAGACGTAGTAAGAGTGAGAACCGACGAAGATATCCAGAGACTATGTGAAACTTAAACAAAATATTATGTAAATAGGAAAGACTAGGGAGTAAATATATACTTTTTCTTAACAATGCTTCACGACCCAACGGAATTTTTAACTGAAAAGTACAGTAAAACATGTGATAATTTGAACGAAATCAAGTACTTCACGGAGGCTGTGAGAGACTTTAATATAATACATGTCAACATACGTGGTATTACTACTAACTTTGATAATTTCTTGGTGTACCTGCAGTCCTTAGAGGTGGACTTTGATTTGATTGCATTGTGTGAAACCCAAATTTTTAACAACCTTGATCAGTTTCGAATTGATGGATATGATATTTTTTACAATGACAGCAAAATCAATCATTGTGACGGCACTATTATTTTCGCAAAAAGTAGCCTTGTCACTGAGTCACAGATAATTAGAACCAATGAATCTAAGTTTTTGAGAGTTACACTCTTGAAAAATTTTGTATCAGTTGGAGTCATTGCACACTATAGATTGCCTTCATTGCCAGAAGAACAATACATTGGTGATCTAACTGAGTTATTGCAAAATAAATTTAAAAGATGTAATGCTGAAATATTTCTTGGAGATATAAATTTAAATATTATGGAAAAAAATTCCAAACTTATAAGCAAATACATTAGCACTATGGGTTCTTTTGGTTACAAACATTTAATAGATAACTACACTAGGGTTGAAGGTTATTCTAAAAGTTGTATTGACCACATTGCTATCCAAGTAGGAAACACAAAAAATATCAAAAACAGCAATGCTGTTATTTTAAAACATAGCGTTTCTGACCACTATACGGTTTTATTGAACATTGAGTTACAACTGCACGAAAAAAAACAAAACCCACAAACGCTTAAATTTAAAGAAAAAATTAATAAAAACCGGTTAGCTGAACTAATTAAGAATGAAAACTGGCAAGAAGTCTACTATAGTGGCGACCCTGAGTTTATTGCAGAAAATATTGTTAGCAAGCTTCAAAAACACATAAAACAATCTTCTACTCAGATTAAAATTAAATCAAAACTTGTTACTTCAATCAGACACAGAGACAAACTAAAAAAAAAAAAGCATCTTGTGATCCGCACAATATTGAGCTACTCAACGAGTTTAATAGATATAGAAATTCAGTTAGATAAAACTATTGATAAAGCTAAAATCTTATATTATAGAAATTCAATCGATAAAAACTCTAAAGATCCAAAAAAGATATGGGAGGCAATAAAAGAAATAACAAATCAAAGTTCACCAAAAAATGCAAAAAAAATGATTGCTAGACATTGCACTCGGCACGCTAGTGCTCTCACCTGTGGAAAGCCCAGCTTCATTCTCTATATTCCAATTAATCACAGAGTCTGTGGACGTAACTACAAGCACTAGATGTCGAACTAGATGACTTTTCGAGCTCTGAATCTTCAGACTCTAAACCATCAAAATCAGTTAATGTTTGTTCATTGTCCTGGACTAGGTTGTCATTGCCTAAACCTAAATATCCACATAAGAGATCGTCACTTTTTACAAACTCAAAATCACTTGCAGAGGGCTCAACATTTTTGTTACAAAAGGTTGATTTTTAATTTTTTTCAGAAATTTACGGTTTCTAATAGACCTATCTATTTTACCAGACAAAGAGGCAATAATACGAAAACTTCATTAAATGAAAAAAGACACAGAACGCCCATTGCGCAAGACGAGGCAAAACGTACCAAATTATGTTAGACTTACGTATAGCAATCCATTCTTCTTATTTGCACGAGATAAAAAGGAAGGAGAAAGACCGCGTGTTGTGCAACGTATTTGTCAATGAAAATTTCAAACAACTTTTGAATGTCACTTGCCAAGCTATGTCAAGTTGAATATCAATCGTACTTTTATTCTTGTCAGACCACGGGCAATGAACAAGGACAAGGATGTGCCCAGCGTGCAAAACGAAGACCTCTCACCTGTATTAGTTAGCCAATAGAAAGGCATTGCCTCGTGTTGCGCGCGCATACCAGGTAAAAATAGATAGGTCTATTAATGTTGAACCCTTCTCAGTGCGAATCATACAAGAACGAATACCTACTTTTTCTACAATTGACGTGTCTCGTAATACCTGGTGTGCGCGCGCAACTCGTGGGTTGCAGGTGAGCGTCCAATGAAAATCGAGTTTGTTACAGGCTTGCGTCATATTCGTATTCAGGGACGAGTTCAGAATTAATCGTTCCTTCTTTCTTTGTAACGTGTAATTCGACAAAGAACAAACTAATACTTTACGTATTACTTGAACGTATCGCAGTGTCGTTTAAGGTTATGTTAGATTATACTTGACATATTCCTTTGCAATTTCATTGTGCGATGTTGCCGGATGAAACATTTATCAAAATAAAAGTGCCATCGATGTTAACATACACTTTAAAGCTCTTCTTTTGTCTGATTTAAGGCGTTTGTAAAACACTTGACAATATATCACTTCTTTGATGTTATAATGTTCGATTTGTATTGTCTACATTTGTTCTGCAACAATACAATCTGGCTACACTGCAGCCACAAGTTGCGCGCGCATGTCATTTTTTATTACTTTCTAACTTGTATTTATTACAATTAAGCTCCGAAGCACACTCCAACTCGAGGAAGCGGAATCGGGTTGAGATCCAAAAAAACTAAGAACAGAAATAATAATTGAATTGATATTTCTTTAAATATTGGTTGTTCTTTCATTATAGATTAGGTTAATTTATTTATAAGTTAAATAATTGAATTTATTAGAGTGGTTTTGGATTAGTTAATTAATATTTAGTAAGTAGTTTTGGGCTAGCTATCTTGAAATAAAATGGATCAATTCCTCAGAGATTTGAACGAAAATATTGTAGTTCCACAGTTGATAAAAAATTTACAATATTTTAATCAACAAATTATTGCAGGTACACATTTCAAAATAATTCATTTGAATATATATGGTATCAAGACAAATTACACGGAATTTTTGTGTTTTTTAGAACAATTTAAACAAAAATTTGAAATAATCGTTTTAACAGAAACACATATAATAAGCGACTTACAAATCTATAACGTACCTGGATATTCTTGTATATATAGTGAAGGAACATTAAATAGGTGTGATGGAATTGTAGTTTTTGTCAAGGAATCAATTAAAATAGAGTCTACCTTCAAATTTATTGGTGACGTAAAATGCATTGAACTTCAAATTGGTGAAAATCAACATAAATTTCTCTTGACATGCATATACAGATCACCATCAGTCAATGAAAACGTCTTTGTAGAAGATTTCTCTGATTACCTCGATTTGAGCAAAAATAGAAAAAAACACATTATAATCGGAGATATCAATATAAATTTATTAAAAGAAAACAAAAATCCTACAGAAAACTACAAAAGTGTCTTAGCAGCTTACGGCTACACCTCATATATTAATAAATACTACACAAGACCCTTGACGAAAACTTGTCTTGATCACATATATGTTAAGGGCGAAAATGAAAATTGTTTCAAGAACTCTAATTCATATATTATAGATTATAAAATCACGGACCACCATCCAATAGCATTCACATTTGAAACGTCAATTACGAATACACAGAAAATAAACGAACGAACAAAATCATACACAGACTATAAAAAACTAAGAAGGGCTTTGCGAAACGAGGGGTGGGAAACGGTTTTTAATGCTCAGGATTTAAATCTTGCAGTCTCAAACTTTTTACATATACTTCAAAATAAAATCTCAGAAAACACAAAAACTATTAAACAAACAAACACAAAAAATGGTAAAAATAAGTGGATAACAAAAGCTCTATTAAACAAGATAAAAGAAAAACATTTACTGTATAACAAAATTCTGAAGGAACCTCAAAATGCTTTTTTTTTTTTTTTACGGATATGCGCACTCGCAAGGAAATGTCCTATCACGCTCGAGAAGCGGCAAGTGCGCGGAAATGTCGGTGTATGTTGGTCTTGAAACGGTTCAGGTTGTAACCTGCAGGAAAAACCGTCGCAGGGAGTTTATTCCACAGCGATGCTTTTCTCCAGAGATATGAATTCTGATATAATGAGGTTCTTGGTGCCTCTAGTTTGACAGTAAATTCATGGTTACCGTCTGTTTGACGGGTTCGCCTGGTAGGCGCTACTCTCGGTGGAATCATACGTGCCAACTCTTCAGAGCATTTTCCGTGATAGTACCTGTAGAAGAGAGATAAATCGCCCACAGATCTGCGATGTTCAAGACCATCCAAGTTACGAGTAAGTGCGGGGTCATTGATCAGCTTGATAGCTCGTTTTTGCACGGTGTTCAAAAGCATTAAGGTATGTTTGGGTGCTGCACTCCATATATGTGAGCAGTACTCCATAGTTGGTCGAATCTGGGCTTTGTAGAGTGTCAGCAATTGGCTTGGTGTGTACAGATGTCTTGTACGAAATAGCACCCCCAGCTTTTGGGACGCCCTTTTAGCAATATCTGCCACGTGACTGTGCCAAGACATATTGGTCTCTGCAGTAACCCCCAAGATGTTCAACTGACTCTGTAATGTGACAGCACTTCCAGATAGCATGATGTTTGGCTCACCGGTGCTGGTCTTTTTTGAAAACAGAGCTGCTTGGGTTTTCTGCGCGTTGAACTGTACAAGGTTTTTGTTACCCCAGTCCTCTATTATCTCCAGGTCGTTATTTATCTGCGATATTTGAGTTAGTCTAAGATGATGGAATTCACGTGCGGAAAGACCTATGGGTGGTATGAGTGAGGAGACTACATTGCCATCGTCTGCAAAGCAATAAAGTGGATTTACTGTTTCATCTATGAGGTCATTTATGTAAATCAGAAAAAGAGTTGGCGAAAGGATTGCTCCCTGTGGCACACCAGCATTTATTTGGTAAGAGTTGGAGTTCTGGCCATCCAGTGCAACATAAATGGATCTGTCCTTTAGGTAACTTTCAAACCAAGTGCAAAGTTTCGGCGATAATCCCATTGCTTTGAGCTTATTGAGCAGATTTTCATGCCAAACTTTGTCGAATGCTTT